TTGGATGCCTGGTCCGCTTCTGCTAGCCTTCCTCTGAAGCTGGACCAATTCAATGTCGGCATACTTGCACCCTTTAGTTTAACAGTCTGTCTCAACCAGAGACCCATTTATTGTTACACCCTAAATTACTTCGTGTACTTGTTTTCCTATATTAGCTCCACATTTGCCAACCTGTAGATTTTACCAATTATTGCATGATTCATTTATCTTGTTTATTTATACTAGTTAATAAACAAGCCAGTTATTTGTAAACAATATGGTTTGTGGTTGATCATTTCTGGCTGAAAGAGTACTGACCTTTCTTAGCTAGATGTGAGATCAAAAGTTGTGTATGTGGAACAGAAGTAAAATGGGCTAAAGTGCTATGAATTCTATTTAAACCGCTCACATTTTGCTTCAACTGATATGATTACGTTTTTTGCTTTGTTACATATATTTGTGTATTCTGATGATCTTATGTCATTCAAAGCATTGTTGATCTTTTGTATGGTTCTGTTTTGCCCCTCCCCTCCATTTTTGTTCTTTTGTATTATACATGTCCTCCCACTACAAAGGACAGCCTAATTGATTTGTGAACTATGTACTACAACTAATAAAGCTTAAATAGTCATTCAGTGATGGGCGGAGTGGCCAAAATAAATAATTAAATGGATAAAAAATTCTACCTTTATTATTTTTTTTTCCCAAAAGAAAAGCTGCATGTTTTCCTATTTCATAACATTGTTTTGAAATAAAAAATGAAAAGTCTGGAGTCAAGACAGGGGTAACACTTTACATTAAGGGTCGCTAATCAATCATTAAATATATAATAATCAACTATTAGTTTCCCATTATTTAGTTATTAGTTAACTCTTCATTAAGCATTAGCTATTACTTAGTAATTGATTAACCACTTATCAAATAGTAATTAAGTACACTGTTAGTTGATAAGTTAGTTTGTCGTTAGTTTGTGGCTTACTCACTCATTATCTGTGTGCTAATTGCTGCTTATTACATTGTTAATTAACTAATAAGTATCTTTCTTCATATAAAGAAGTAACATGATAACTTACTAGCACTTATGTGTTAATCCAGCTAATTATCTGTTAATTAACTTTCCATCACCTCCATATATTCAGTTGCTTCACTTTTCTCACTTTGGTTCTTGTTCATTAAAGATGCTTATGGTCACATCTGACCGTAAGATGAGCGCACACAAATTCATGGACGGTTTTGTTATTCATCACGTTCATCTTGGCATATCTGTACTCATATCTGGTAGGAGTGCATGCAAATTTGGGCATAAATGCTGGATATGTGGCTAATTAACCAAAACTATTATCAACATAATCTGTAACATCAAAAATAAGAACAACAATAGAAAATATCAATAATACTAATTTGTGTGCATGACAGTCCAGTACAAAAGTGGATGTACTTACTTTACATGCACATTGATATAAACAAGTGCTGCAACTATTTCATGTTCCATTTAAAGACACATTACACTGTGCTTTTGTTTCATACTACTGACTCACAAACACAGCTTCGGTCATACACTGCAATAATACAGCATTTATTTTAGGGAATTAACTACACTAAACAATCACTCTACTATGTTAACAACACTGAGTATTTAGTTTTATTTCACATTTTATTTTTTCCAGTTGTTTTCATTTTAATACTATTAAGTTTGGTCAGCAGGGGAGGAGTGCACTCACTGCTGGACATCAAGCTCCATCCACGAGCACGGCCATTAGCTTTCATGCCAAACACTGCCGTTTTATTGGCTGGCTACTGAAACATCTGCATAAATTAGGGTGTGCTTCATGTAAATGATATGTAAATGAGGTGCTGGTAGGCTGGTTTCATGCACCGAAGCGGATTTATCATTTATGCTCAAATCTCCACTTGTTTCTACATCGTACAAAATTGTTATGAATCAGACGCAGAGCAGTTCAAACCTTATAAAAGGCAAAAAAAGTGTTCTTTTTTATGTAACTTTGATGGTTAATAGCCATTAATTCCACTCAACCATTCATTGCTTCTTAAATTCCTCTTACTTAATCATTAATTACTGCTTTTGTGTCCCTCCAAGTAAAGTGACAACACAAAATCAGTAATTAATGGTCAAGTAAGAGGAATTTAAGAAGTAATTAATGGTCATAATGTAAAAATCTAATGGCCATTTTCTCATGATAGTGCACAAAAACTAACATATGTCTGTTGTAGCTCAGTATTTGAGCATTATAGTTCACTCCTAATGCTTAATCCGGACGTAATCACGACTCTTTGTGAAAAGGGCCCACAGCCATTAGATCTTTACATTTTGACCATTAATTACTCCTTAAATTCCTCTTACTTAACCATTAATTACTGATTTTGTGTCCCTCCAAGTAAAGTGACAACACAAAAGCAGTAATTAATGGTTAAGAAAGAGGAATTTAAGGAGTAATTAATGGTCAAAAGGAAGTGAATGGAAGCTCTGATTTAACTGTAAACACAGCTGAAATGCTGTGTGTGGTGCAGCCCTGCTTACTGCTGCTGCAGCTGCTCACATCAAGCCGTGTCTCTGTAGTTGAACAACATGCCAGCGATTTCTGTAATATTTCTGTTTTCAAAAGAAATTAAAGTTCTTCTATGTAGTATGAATTTGGTAGACGTTGTTTAGCTGTAGCTAGGTTAGCTAGCAACGCTAGAAGCCATTTCTAACTGTAGCTGTGTTCCCAAAATAAGGAAGCTAGTTAGCTTTCATCAGCTGCTGCCTCCAGCCGGCTAACGTGGAGCAGGTTCTGTGACACATTTAGCTACAGGATGCAGAGACTTCTGACATAAACACAAACAAAAACTTTTACATGTAAAGTCTATTTGATAGACATCGTTTAATCTGTATTAGCTTACGGTAGGTTAGCAGGCTACAGTCGCTAATTAGCTAGCCTACCATTAGCAGTTTGAGGAGCACCAGCTTCGTATGAGTAGCAAACTTTAAAGCTAAGTTAGCTCTAACGCTAGCTATGTTAGCGATCTGCCAAAGAGCATTATTCTTATAATTTCATGGCAATTTTTGAAGCAGCACTTCAGAAAACATCCACCTTTCACTGCTCAGTCAAAAACGAGACTCCTAGCTGAAAAAAAACATCTGAAAAAGCTGCTTCATGTTAGCCGGGCTAGTCTGGTTAGCAGTAGCTTCTAGCCAGTATAGCTAGCTTAATATAAACAGAGTCTATAACATCCATGCTACATATAAAAGTTCTTCTTTTGAAAACAGAAGATTACAGAATCGTTGGCGTGTTGTACAAAGACACAGAGGCTGCTTGATGTGAAGCAGCTGCAGCAGAACTGCAGTAAAAACAACATACAGCATTTTAGCTCTGTTTACAGTTCAATCAGCGCCTCTGTCCACTTCTTATTCTCGCTGTTTGTCACAACCGTGCAGGAAAACTACAGTACAGCTGCTGGAGCTCAGAGTCTGAGCAATACAGTTCACTACTAAACATTTTGACATCGCGTCTGCAGTAGCTCTATGGAGAGGAAGCGAGTTTTACCCTGCTAATGCTTAAACCGGAAGTAATCACAGTAATCACGTCAAAGTTACGTAAAAAAAAAACACCTTTTTCTTGCCTTTTATAAGGCATGAACTGCTCTGTGTCTGATTCATAACAACTTTGTAGGATGTGGAAACAAGTGGAGATTTGAGCATAAATGATAAATCAGCTTCAGTGCATGAAACCAGCCTACCAGCACCTCATTTACATATCATTTACATGAAGCACACACTAATTTATGCAGATGTTTCAGTAGCCAGCCAATAAAACGGCAGTGTTTGGCATGAAAGCTAATGGCCGTGCTCATGGGTGGAGTTTGATGTCCAGCAGTAAGTGCACTCCTCCCCTGCTGACCAAACTTAATAGTATTAAAATGAAAACAACTGGAAAAAATAAAATGTGAAATAAAACTAAATACTCAGTGTTGTTAACATAGTAGAGTGATTGTTTAGTGTAATTAATTCCCTAAAATAAACGCTGTATTATTGCAGTGTATGACCAAAGCTGTGTTTGTGAGTCAGTAGTATGAAACAAAAGCACAGTGTAGTGTGTCTTTAAATGGAACATGAAATAGTTTCAGCACTTGTTTATATCAATGTGCATGTAAAGTAAGTACATCCACTTCTGTACTGGACTGTTACACACACAAATTAGTATTATTGAAATTTTCTATTGTTGTTCTTATTTTTGCTATTACAGATTATGTTGACAATAATTTTGGTTAATTAGCCACATATCCAGCATTTATGCCTAAATTTACATGCACTCCTACCAGATATGAGTACATATATGCCAAGATGAACGTGATGAATAACAAAACCGTCCATGAATGTGTGTGTGCGCTCATCTTACGGTCAGATGTGACCATAAGCATCTTTAATGAACAAGAACCAAAGTGAGAAAAGTGAAGCAACTGAATATATGGAGGTGATGGAAAGTTAATTAACAGATAATTAGCTGGATTAACACATAAGTGCTAGTAAGTCACGTTACTTCTTTATATGAAGAAAAATACTTATTAGTTAATTAGCAATGTAATAAGCAGCAATTAGCACACAGATAATGAGTAAGTAAGCCACAAACTAACGACAAACTAACTTATCAACTAACAGTGTACTTAATTACTATTTGATAAGTGCTTAATCAATTACTAAGTAATAGCTAATGCTTAATGAAGAGTTAACTAATAACTAAATAATGGGAAACTAATAGTTGATTATTATATATTTAATGATTGATTAGCGACCCTTAATGTAAAGTGTAACCCTTACTAGTATTAAATGGGATCTATATGTTTATTTTAGAGAGAAAAACACCTGGATATTTCTTAAACAAAGCAGTCAGAGTCAAGCATTATACCTCAAAGTCATATGGTATCCTTTTGTCCTGTCAAGAACTGAATGAATACTTTAAAATCTGATCCATTTACTGCTAAAATATGCAATAATGCAGAGAATATATTTTATTCTCTCACAGTTTCTTCAATATCAGACCTATTTTATCCACACGGCACGAAAGGAAACACTTCAAATCCTGGCGCTGATGATGTCAGCTCTGATGCTATTACGTTGCAGAGTCCATTCTCTTTCTTTGGAAACACATACTCTCAGATATATGTAAGTTCCATTACAGCTGAACTGTAAATGTTGATCACAAATCTTTCATCATTTCTCTCTGAAAATGTTTGCTTTTGTTTTTACTTGCAGGTCAACAACAATGGAGACCTAAAATTTAATCAGAATCAGTCTGTTGCTGATGGTGGTAAGACTTTCATTGCTCCATTCTGGACTTGCTTGGATAACAGTGTAGAAGGTGTAATCTCATATAGTCAGTACTCTGAGGGCAGTGTACTCTCACGGGCTACACAGGACATAAACCAGTACTTTCCAGAAGTTAACTTCACTGCCTCTTGGGTTTTTGTTGCAACATGGGATGGAGTGCCATACTGCGAACACCCAGGCAAGGTAAGATGTAAAATGCTTGGCTTTTTGGTGGGGGGTAAGGAAGAAGACAAGGGGAAACAAGAAGGAAAATAAACTTGAGTCATACCTAAAAATGTAAGTTCATTGTGTTGGGAATGAAAAGTCAAACCAAAAGGAATTTCTTTTTCAACAGACAATTACAAGACCATTTTCTTTGAAGAGGTGGCTGGTCTGGTTCAGAGTGTTTCTTTGCATACCACCAATGAATGCAACACAGAGTAAACATAAATACATGAATGAATAAATAAATCTGTAGACTACACCTGGCTTAACACCTTTTTGTACTTCATTTCTGAATTATACTGTTATTTCTCTTCAATCCTCCATACTTCTTCTCTGCATTTTATCATTCGCTTACTTAAAAACAAAAACATACGTTTACATTGATTTAACTAGATTAAGCTATGGTATGATTCACAGCACTGCTGTGTCTAATCCACTCAGACCAGCGCAACACACTACCACCACATCAGTGTTACTGCAGTGATGAGAATGCTCCACGACCCAAATAGTACCTGCTCTGTGAGGGTCCATGGGGGTCCTGACCACTGAAGAACAGACTAAATAACTAACAAAGTATGCAGAGAAACAGATGAACTACAGTCTGTAACTGTAGAACTACAAAGTGCACCTATATAGTAAGTGGAGCTGATAAAATGGACAATGAGCATAGAAACAAGGGGGTGGTGATAATGTTATGCCTGATCAGTGTATATATCATAAAATGACAGGTACAGTTTCCTTTGAAAGTATTGAAATGTCAAGGCGAATTATTTTGTTTTTGATATAGACTGAAGACATTTAGGTTTTAGATCAAAAGATCAAAGTGTCAACTTTTTTTCCTTGATATTTACATCTAGATGTAAACAACATAGAACATGGCATCTTTGGTGGCAAATTTGTTGTTCTTGTTCTTGAGCTTAGTGTTTCTTTGCCCCTGGTCTCAGTTTTCTGAGAAAGTCAGCCAGCAGGCAAATTAGGTTAATTAGCCTTTGCTGGCTTGGCTTTTTATTTCTATTTACCTTGCTGTCAGAAGAGAATGTATATTTAATGGATATATATTTTTTCCTTTTAAAAGGCATCATTTCAAGTGGTTTTGACTTCCAGAGGGACTCTTTCCTTTATGTTGATAAATTACGGTCCCATTGATCCAACAAGTCAGTATGTGGAGGTAAAGTGCTCTAAGCATAACCTCCTTGACATAAATCCTTTTGTCTGTATTCTCTGTTCTAAAAGTGTTTTCTGCCCAGGCTGGATACGACACCTTCAAACACAGCTTTCAGATTCTGAAGTCAGCCAGCAGCAACCAGGATGACGTTTCAATGCTCAATACAACAAGCAATGTGAATGTCCCTGGGCGCTGGGCCTTCTGGGTAAACCAAGGAAGTAGTTACACCACTACCAGTGGTAAGGTCTTTTTTTAACTGAATTCAGGTGTTCAACATGGTAAACATACTTTTGGTGACCTGTGTAACCTGAGAATACTGGCATAGCTGGTATCTAATGGTTCTCATTGCTTTTGGTTCTGATTTTCAATAGGCAGGTACACGAAACCTTATAGCTCATGTCCATCCACTCAGCATCAAACCTGTTTTTTGTAAAACAAATCCTCATTAAAAATGGGGGTGGGGTTGATTACATACATAATTCCTTTAGTGCCATCATAGAATACATTTTTAAAGCAATAAGCCACGAATCGCCGTGCCTGTAGTTCTGTACAGAACCATGAACACTCAAAGAACCCTTTGCATGATTAAAGATTGATTGCATGATTTTTTGCATCATGTAAGGATTCTTCAGATTGATGGAGAAACTGCTACAGATGGTTCTATATAGAAAACAAAGAACCAATATTCGTTCTACTGTTATAAGATTGACATTGTAACAACAGAAGAACCCTTTTTGGTGCTATATAGAGCCCTTTTCAAAAAGGTTCTATATAGAATCATCTACATCACATTCTCTATCATGTTGAAGAAGAACTAATGATGCAAAGAACTCTTTAATCATGCAAAGGGTTCTTTGAGTATTCATGGTTCTATATAGAACCTTTTTCCTTACTAAAGAACCCACAGCATTAAAACATCAACAGCATTAAAACAGTATTAAAAGCTAACTAAGATCCATTAAGACCTAAGTAGAAGGATTTTGTACATCATCAGTAAGCTTGAAGCCACTGACAACACAAACCAGTGCTGTCTCAGTACTATGGTTATAACAGAATGCTGATTAAAACTTAAAAAGGAGGTTTGAAATAGAAATAGAACATTATGAAGTATGAAAGGACCCATGCTACTTTTTATTTATTTATTTATTTATTTTTGTATAGATTTTACCAATGCAGTTTTGAAAGCATTTGGAAAAGCACCTGTTGACAGAACAAAGTTAACAATTGTGGGGCGTTTGCCGGGAGAGATGACACGAGTTCAAGAAATATTCAGTTCAGGATGGCACTGGGTCGATTTTATTATAACTCACAAAAGAACAAAATCAAGGATCCCTCCAGGGAGGGAATTCAGTCTCTTTAAATGCTGTCAGCTCTCTCTTTACTGCTGCGGCGAATTATTTACTGCAGCTGAGGCATTATTTAACCATGTGTTTAGTTTTTTGGTATCCCTGAAGATATACTGTTTGATCGTGGGCCCCAATTTACTTCTCAAGTCTGGTCTGCATTCTTTGAACATATCGGATTCAATGTCAGTCACACTTCTGGTTCTCACCCCGAGTCAAACAGACAATTGGTCACGTTTACTGTCATGGGCAGAGATGGCACAGAATTCTCTTTCTAGCTCTGCCACAGGTATAACACCTTCCAGTGCATGTTTGGTTATCAACCCCCGATTATGCCATGGACGGCTATCATCACTGACATCTCGGCAGTGGATGAGTGGATGGCAAGGAGTGAGGAGATCTGCACTTCTATCAGTGAATCAGTGAATTAAGGACATGCTTAAGAGAAACAAGGTTCCAGGCTGACCATCATCCATCATGGTACAGGAGTGACAGTCCCCTCTACCAGCCAGGAGACCATGTGTGGCTGTCAAGTCAGGACTTCAGGTTTGAGGGGGGTTGTAGTAAGTAAATTAACCCATTCCGAATTTTGGAAAGAGTTTATGAAGTTTCTTCTCAGCTTGATCTGCCAAGCCATTATCGTGTTTCATGTACATTTCATGTTTCCCTCCTCAAGCCTGTTGTTCCAGGTCTGTTGGATGAGGCTACACCCGACAAGCTGCCGCAGCTTGTGGTCATGGATGGGGCCCTGGTTTAGGCTGTTTGTAGGTTGCTGGACTGCAAGTGGAGAGGAGGTCATCTACAATACCTGGTAGAATAGAAGGGTTATGGACCAGAGCAATGTAGTTGGGTGACAGCCCAGGACATCCGTGATCCTGGTCTGGTTGAGAATTTCCATTGCCTGCACCCCGAGAAGCCTGTCTCTTGTCCCAGCAGTCATCACAGGAGTCAGTCGGTCATTTCCTATAGGGGTCCCATTGTCAGACATCCCAGAGGCCATGCTCTGAGGTTTTCGACTGTCCAGCACCTTGTTGGTACCAGTGGTCTCAGTGACATCCCCAGCAGTGTGGTTTGTGGTTGTTGTGGTTGTCCTTGTCCATTGGCCATACTGGACTCTTTGGGGGAGTACTGTCACGACTACTGCTGAGGATGCTCCTTCTGTCTGTTCCTTGCAACCAGCAGATTTTGTATTATCCATGGACTGTGAAGAGCATTACAACTCCCATAAGTCTATGGTGGAACCTATGTCTCCGTCCTCATCTCCATCAGCCAATGGATTCTCTTTTCTATGCTCTACATCCCCTGAGTTCTAATGTCTTACATGTTAGTGTTACTTGCAATCAGTTAGGTATTATGTATGCCTGGGCTTTAGTTTAGTCAATTGTGAATTATTCCCAACATTTCCAGTTGCATACTGAGCATTCTTTGTATCGCTGACTTCCCGTGCCTTTTTTGCTTTTTCCTGACGTGTTTTTTGACTTTTCAAAGGGTTGGCCTCTGGGCCATTCGCTGTGGCCATCAGGGTGACAGTCTGCCTGAGTTCCTGAGGAATGGGCATTCCAAAGCTGCTGAGGCTTTGTAGCCACCCTGGTGCCACCAGGGAGCTTGGCAGGGTTTCTGCAAAGAGTCTGGACTATTCAAAGGTCTCTGCTGCAGCTGTTGAGGTGTCACAGCCCTTTTGGGCCACTGAGGGACGTTAAAGGGATTCTGAAGCTGCTGGGGAACCGACACTGTTTGTGTGCACTGGAGCCCCAACTCTCTGCTTCCGTTTCCCCGCCGGCTTAGGCTCACTGTATTGTCTGGTGCGGTGCCCCAGGTTTTCCTGCATTTCCAGCACACCAGCCACTCTGTTGCCACTTGGCATGTCACCTCATTCTTATGCTCACTATCACTGCAGTGTGCTGCTGCACCATGACGAACCTGACTGTGGCCTGCATATTCCCTGAAAATCACTTCCACCTCTTCTGCCCTCCATAAAGCCTCCTCCAGGCCAGTTGGGTTTGTGAGCCGCGACTGCTGCTGGAGCTTTACTGGCCTCACTGCCTGACTGAACACATCCAGTGCTAAGCTATCACAGATCTCCAAGGGAAACTCCTTGAAGCCCCAGCATGTTCTTTATAGAAGCGATCAGATTTAGCTTCCTTCTGTGCTGACACTCTCTTTGACGGAGTCAAACGCACTCATTAAACTGCCTCCTCAGGCTGTCTATGAGGCTGCCCCAAGTAACCTGAACCATCAGAATGGCACACGTTTAAGCTATAAGTGGCTTCAACTGCTGTGTTCGTCAAGTCCCGTCGGGACCCCACCCACTGTTACAGCGAATCCATGCGCCGTGGTTCAGACCAACCCTCTGTCTTTAGATCTTCCACCATTTCAACATGGAGGCATTTTGTTTTGTGCAGCTGTATACACCTAGTAGTGTTTTATTCAAAACTAAATTTAAGAGGTCAGACTTGGCCAGACAACTTACGGTGGTTACTTATGGATTAAATTATCTGTGTTGTACTATGAGTTTCCCATTATAAGCCTTGCCAAAAAGTACATCATGTATCAGGTAGCCTGTTATTTATTTTATGAGGAGCCAGCCAACCCAGTGGCCCTAGAGTGCTTCATAAATTAAGGGCGTGTTTGTATGACTGTACACCCTTAAAATGTTCAGAGCTTGTTTGAAATGCATTATTATCATGAATACTTGAACTGTGTCAGGTCATTACATATCTTACTCAGATATCATCTGAAGATTTCTGCAGTTCAGTATGGTTTTCAAGGTTGTGCCAGGTGCTCTTCTCTTAACAAACTCTGTTTATTTCAGATCTGAATATCAAGGTTTCTGAAGCTTGCAAGGTCAGGACACA